GAAGAGAAGCATCAAGGATCGACACGCCGCTGCAGTGGATATTGGGAAGCCTCACGCTGTGCCTTTTTGCTGGTAACGGCATCCTCGTCGGCCATGTGGCAGTGGCAAGACAGCCGTTTCATGTTTAGATGTTGAGGTGGCGATTGCTATGTTTACCATTTGATGATGGATAACGAAGTGATTGCGAGGCGGAAAGCGGAGATCGTGTACTCGTGATCGACGAGGACCTGTGCTACCGAGAGACATCGCTTAGAGATGCATCGCGGGTGTAGGCTTCATCGGGATGTGGGGAGAACGATAGAGTCACGGCAGGTACTCCGGAGTAGAGGTGGAGGCCGTTGGGTGAAGGCCCAATTTGGCAATGACTTCGCTTATCCGCGGCCATCGATCTGGTGAATGCTGAATTCGCTAGTCATGCTCATCGTGCAGAGAGGCGTCTCAACAGATCGAGGGCACTGACGCGTGAGGCGGAGGTGTACTTGCTGATGTGGGGAGATTTACTGAGCCCAACGCTGCTATACACATATGGTCCGCGTCCTTTCCTTCGAAGACCATTAAGACTACGTCATCTTCATCGTAACGTGCTTCTCGCGATACTTGAGCTTTCAATGAACTTGTGTTTCAATATTCACAAGATTCACCGAGGTTTACCCATACGTGATGCCTGACCGGTCACCTCCAAGCGTCAATGTATGCATCGCACCACCGCGGCGGCGATTGACAACAAGGGCTTGCTAGCTCGGTGCCTTGCTGCGCGATGCTGCACCGGCGCTGTGAACACCTGCATGTGCGCAGTACCCTGTCAATCGGTGAAGGAATATATCGAACGGGCGCGAGTAATACTCCGGCGCAGTGAGCGTTGTACCGTGCCGTCGCCGCATCCCGCCTTTTCGGTGCACTGTCAGAGAGGCAAGAGGCAACAATCCAGGAGCCCGGTAGATGGTCGGCCAGTTTCGAAGCAACCGGCTTTTCTTGCTGCTTCTGTGTGTCGCATACGATCTTGTGCGCCGCAGTGCTGTCCAGTCTTGATGACGCGCCCAAAGCTGTAGCCCACAACATAGCGCAATGCGTGTGCCAGCTCCGCCGCCAACGGCCCGCAAATCTATTGGACGATTGTGAAAAATAGAAAGTGGAGTCGTAGCCAATAGTGTCGCCGAAAGTTGCTTCTTTTCGGGTCGCCCGTGAGGCGAGGTACATAGGCTATATGCGGAGCTGATATAGCTCCGCTTCCCACAACGGCAGAGCATGGTATCTGCGCAAACGCTTGGCAAATTTCGCAAGACCCATGGAAGATGCCGTTTGTATCTTTGTACGTAAGCGAGCGCGGATGTTGTTAAACTTCCGCAAGATAATCGTGAAGGTGAAATCACATGATCAAGGCCATCGTAGTGTAACTACCATCATAACATGACACTGTGAGGCGCTTTTTACTAACAACATCAACGATTTCATTACCTTAGAATTGCGGGCGACGGTCTTTTCGATGTTTCAACTGCCGTCAGTAACCCGTTGTTATTCACCTTTAGCGTTGCTCGCGTATGCGTAATGACAGTGAATTCCCAAGGGCACGGCGACAGAGATAGCTTCTTGACCAGTGGATGTAGCATTGTTACTTCATGCATGAGGCGTGTCGTCGCTGTTTTTACCCGATACGTGATCTAGACCACAGCATGGTTTGGCAGCCCGGGTGACGTTGAGTGACAACGAAGGGTTACAGTCTGGCGGGTGTCGACGCCGCATACATGGAGGTCGGTTGGAACAATTCGTGACAGTCTCGCTTATACATGTTTCGAACAGATATCTCGAAGATTTCTAGGTAGGATCCATGAGTACCAGAGAGGACAGAAGCTAGACCGGCGCCTCAGGACGATTTGCTGCTTGTCGCTGCGAAAAGGGGTAGCATCGCGTTCTCTCCTGAGTCTTCCAAAGTTCAGGTCAAAGGAGCGAGTACCGAAGCAAATCCAGGTTTTCGTTAAGGCGAACCACTTCGCTGGCCAAGGACATCTCACTGCCACACCCTCACCCGGAGACGCTCGTGGCTGATCATCAAGGGCGCGTGGGTATGCTGTAAGGGTCCACACTCACTGGATTCTGGATGATCGGGTGCGCGTACTAGCAGACAGCGGCGTCGTGGCAGTGACGTGACGCTATTCGAGGGTACCCACCTACACTGCAGCAGCGCCGTGCCAGCAGTCAAGCCGCGGAGACACTCGCTCAGCGTCTTTGTTCCCTCTGGCACATCCGACGGCAATGAAGGCTACGGCTGAGCAAACGCGCGTCCGGGTTGACCGAGACATCACTCACCGGAGGCAAGCTGCGGGACTGATCTGGTAGCGAGCGATCCAACACACTCGCCATCCAGTTCAAGCCTGGTCGATAGTGGCCCAACGCTGACGATAGCACAATCACGATGCGTTGTCATATATTATTCGCCGCGCAATAAGACAGCGACTATAGCCAGGTGGACATTGCCGTGCACGCGCTGTTGGCTGAGAGACTTAGTGATGGGGTGTTATTGGCAACGCTCGCTTCCCGTGCCAGAGTCCCAACGGTGTTGGGCTTGCGACGAATCTCCCGAGTTGATCGGCACTGTTGTGCATGTTGTTCTTGATGCGCTTCTTACAGCGTAGACTTTGGTTCCGGGGACAGCAGTGAGAGCCTCTTCATCCTTCAGGGCATCGATCATGCTGACAAAACTTCGCCCCGCTAACATCCTCTTGCTTGACTTTGGTCGCGCCCTTCTTCCTTCTCTTTGCGGTCCAGCGTTGGCTGATGTGATCGCTACCAAGAATATTCAGCCGGCTGACGGCTGCCAGAGTGGTTCAAGCGGCTCCACTGCGATCCGCGCCTCTGGTGGTATAGCCATGGTGTCGACGTACGGCTGGTGGTCGGCGCCGGTAGGCGAATAGAATCTGGCATGCCTGCTGTTAGTATAACCCGCCATTGCCGTGATGCAACTGAACACCAGTTCAGATCGGCGCACACTGCTCACTCCAGGCGCAAGTCCAACTCCGTCTACAGAGACACTTCTCCAAGTTCTTTGCTCTTTCCTTTTGGTATATGGAGTAACTCACCAGGACATGTGCGAGACTTCGATGCCCAGTGTTCAGCTTTTGCTATAAATTATCATGGGCCGACCTTGATGCCTGAGACATCAGGCCAAACGATGGCGCGTTTCAGAAGCGGTACCGCCGGCCGATGCTGCCACCGGAGTAAGCACCCGCATCGCCTCGCCTTCTGCCCAGATACCATGTACCTTCGAGTCGCATAGTTCATCTATTTGACAAATCGTCTGGGTGCAAAGCGCTGCGCTGTGCAAAGCTTTGCGAAGAAGTTTCCGAGATGTCATGTTGTGATGTTTTGTCTGTCCAAAATTTCCAGCTTGATCCGAGTCATCTCCGGATGATGTCCGTGCTTTGCATGACGTAAGAGCGGACATCCCCAGCCACTTTCTCCCATCATCACGTTGAGGAGCTTTCTTTATACGTGCGCTTGCATTTGACTACAGTCCTCGGTGTTGCTATGGTCTCCTCCACCCATTGAGTATATCCACAACATTCTTCTAAAACTGCTTATTGGTCTGTTCCTTGGCCAGCGGACCCATCATCGTGTTCTCCAGATCGATATCCAATCTCTACGGACGCGTCGTGACCTCAGAGGACATGATCACGTACTCAAAGCAACTAACGGTTGCCTACAGTTGAGGCGCTATCTTGAATTATTGAGCCTGAGTCTCAACACAGCCATCGCGAATGGTGAGTAGTATCCGTGTGTATCTCATGGTTTCACCTTATCTCATCGCGACACCTGGCTAGCTTCCTTAACGTAGCATCTTCTCCAAAGAACCTATCTTTTGGATATGCTTCACGGCGTCATGTTCACCATCGAACCAACTGATCTCAACGCTGTTCCTGCATCTCAAAACCTGTTCATCGAAGCATAGATTTCGTCTTTCTGTCACTTCATTCCACTACTAGGTGACTGCTATAGTAATCTCAGCATCCGCTCGACTTTTCATTACCAATATCACCAGTGCGATCTTTGTCCTTCTCAAGTTTTGCAGCAAGAGTAAACGGGATGGTCCGCGAAGGCAAAAAGGCCTTGCTCAGGCAGTTGCCAACGAGAAAGTAGTCACTTTGCAGTCGCGCTCAACTCTTGCGACGACAGGCGCCATGCTGAGCCGGTGAGTCTGATGGAAGGAGTGGCTGCACATCACCAGCGCGTACACTACCGGCATGGGCTATGATCAGCGCGGTGCAATAGCGGATAGAAGAAGACAGGAAGAGGCGGTCGATCCTTACCTGCGGGGTTCGTGAGGATACAAACTGTAAAGGTTGCTGGACCCACTGGGCTGCTCCAATCATTGCGACGCCATATCAAGACCCTTATCTTGTGACCTTATCTCTCGGCGCGTTTCTACCACCTTCTTTAGCCGAACATCCTCACAAGACACATATTCTGGCACACCTTGAGACCGAGAGAAAAAAGATACTCCAAATCCGCATCCGAGGCCGTCACCGACCGCGCGCGATGGACCACCAGCATCACCAGCCGATATGGCCTTTACTGGAAGGCGCTTTCGACTACACGATGAACCTGGCAAGCGAGCTCTGGACAATGATCTGGAAACCAGCCGAGCAGCCGCGTGCGCAGCCTATGAGCGCGGTGGCTGCGCAGAGCTCCCATATTGAGGTCGCGAGAGTGGGTAGTAGTCTGCGCACGAAGAGGTCCGGAGATATCGCGAAAGCTTGCGCAGCTGCGCAGAGAGAATTTGAGTGATGATGAATTCATGCAAACACGTATGGAGCAGAATACATCTTTGGTAACGTGGAGCACCTATTGGACCAGGGGAGAGGCTAATGTCAACATCAGCGAAGATTTGTCGTCACTGCTACCGACACGTCAACGACCAGAGCTGACTAAGGATAACCGCGAGCCGGAGGTGAGTGACCATGTAATTGGGAGCGGTTGATGACCGATGCGCTAATTACCTTGCCATTATGAAGGTCACCAAGTCGAAGTCCCATGCGAATGCAAATTGGGTAGCCCAGCCAGGCGCAAAGGGCAGTTGCGCACAATGAGCATTCTGACGGTGACACTAATTCCCATATCTGGAGCCCGAATGCAATAGCATTGGATGTGTATATATTCGAGAGAGGAGATTGGCTGTGCAACAGAAGAGATTACTTCTTTTGTCGAGTAGAACCAAGGTATACCGAGTTGCTCGACTTGTTCGCCGTTTCCACTGCAAAACTGGTCAAGAACCATGGTTCAGAGACTATGCGGCGACATCAGATGTGACTACTTCTTTCGGCGCACACAGCCATCTCCCACAACCATCTCCCACGTCCATCTCCCACATCCATCTCCCACATCCATATCCCACATCCATATCCCACATCCATAACCCATGGCCATCTCCCACAACAAAGTCGCCCGACGTGGCAGCATACGCGCAGTTCATCGTGCGGATCCAGCCGCTTCTCCCACAACGTCTGACGAAGACCGATATCATGCCTTGACCGGCGACCTCACAAAGTCAATCATCAACTCCGGCTTCGCCAACTGGGATGCATTCACAAAAGCGACCGGCCAACTCCTCGCAGACATCAACGCCGCAGAGAAAAAGTACACTGCAGCACACGAGATCTCCGGGATCAGGGATCTTCAGCAACGAATTCGCGAAAACAAGAACGACGCCCTCCAAAGCGTACGCAATGGAATCGACTTCCCTCCAACGCTGCTTCAAGCTCATCGCTTTGCTGCGTACTACAAGTCACCGGAAGCGTTTCTGGAAAGGAACAAGAACTTACGTGGATTTGAAGAATGTGCTGTGGACAGCAAGAAGAACCTTGCTTCCGCACTAAAGTTGGGTATACGCATGAAGAAATTCGATATTGCTGTATTGGAGAAGTTCCCGAAGCTGAGCGAAGAGTATCAAGTTCTCATTGCTTGTTTGAGTGGCCAACCGTAAGAAGAAGCCCGACCCAAGAAGTCTGTCATTCTTGAGGAGCACCTTGTTCCTCTTTGCGCAAAGAAGATATTTGTCGAGGACGTACATTTACAGGGTCATCGTCACGGTCGCGCGATCTGATATTCGCTCGGCGCAATATGCCATTCTGGATTGCGCATCTTTGGACTGGGTCTATCACTGGGTAGCACCACACAGCCGAGCTTTGAAAGACTATGCGGTGGTCTATGATTTGTGTACAGGCTGATATATTTCGGAATCCCCGAAAGGTTTGACTACAAGGAAGTGTGGTAGTCCTTGTGTATCTCGAAATCCAATTCTCCGAACCGTCTGTTTCCTGCAAAGTGACTAGCGACTCGGCATGACGGCTGTGTGCTTGCGCGTGGGGTTCATTCTTCCAATTCTGCTCGATCTTGTGACTGATGCTCCAGAGACCTCGAAGGCAGTGGCCCGGTCCGCCGAAGCTCCTCGACACCCTGAATAATAGCAACAAGCCGCGCTCGCCCTTGTTCAAGATTCCAAGAGCATGGAGAATAATTGGGGTCAAGTATGCGGATTAGGTATTCGAGCCGGTGATCTGCAAGAATGGCTGGTCAGCTCTGCACTTGTCAATAGCCCAAGCCACAGCTTGTACTTACCCCCCATGGTGTCAATACATTCCAAAGTCTCAGGAAAACCACGGATGGGCTCATTTGTCCTCGGATCGTGAAGAGACAGTAGAATCGTCTGTCGGTCGGCTTGAGCATTATAGGCTGTCGCGTCTGTGTTGTGCTCCCTATGAACTTCTAGCGTGACGATCAAGCATAAACGTTGTCCGCACTTACCTCGCTTTCCTGACCAACAAATCTTTGTACACAACAGACAGTGTGCGACTTTCGGCATCCATAGAAGCCCGAAGACGCAACACATTGTCGTGGAGGCCTACAACCGTTCTTTCGAGGGAGAGAAGGCGTTGCTGTATGTTCTTGATGTCGATGCGGACAGTAGCGGACTCCATAGCAGCAGTCAAAGGGATGATGGAAATGGCATGCAGCTGACCGACTGTAGAGTGTAGCTGCGACTCGAGAAAGGCGAGTTCAGCTCGTCTATTGCGCATGTTGAAGTTGGTATACAAGAGCAGATGATGTTGAAGAGACCCTTCAGTGGTTGTTTGGTCGCCGTGAGGTAACGATTATCAGGGGATCGAAAGCTTGAACCACCCAAGAGCCACAACGAGGGAGAGCGCGCAATATTGAACATTCTGGAAAGCCCGCGAATATCCTTTCGCAGATGCACGGACGTTGCGAGTTGCTGTTAAAGGCTGATCGACCCCTCGGTGACTAGAGACCACTTCGAACTCGCCCATCGAAGACGTCAACATACCACTGTGACTAGAGACCACTTCGAACTCGCCCATCGAAGTCGTCAACATACCACTGCCATCATGGAGAACAACCCCTACGACATCGCATTGCAGCTTGAGGCAGCCGCTGCCCAACTCCGCGCCATCGGCACCCTCCCAGAGACTCAACGCGATGGACCCATCAAGCAAGCTATGGAATATATGCTGGGGCAAGTCTGCGATGTATGCGAAAAGGTACGACAATTGAATCACAACTATGTCGCTCTCAACAAACAGGTTCAGGCACAGTGAGTGATATGGGAGGATTCGAAATAATCGAAACACGTATTAACAAGTACATGTCAGTATCTGGAATACCGCGATGCGCCAATATCACAGTACATACAAGCTTTCTGAGATGAGAATGGGTCATATGCGCGACGTCAAGACGAATGAGCCTATCGCCGACTTTCCATTACGAGCAAAAGACTTCCGCAATCTGGATTGTACGTTTGTCCCTGCATGGAACGTTTATTTTTTTCCCACGCTGATCAATGTTGATATAGCCTTCGAGTGTGAACGTATCGCAAATGCGTTGGGAAGGGTGGAGAATTTAGGTGAAATTGGAGAGAGGCAGCAAACAGTCATCCACTTGGTCGGACTCGATACTGCCGCCGTTTACCACTGGGTGTAGTCGCCACTTAAATAATAAACTGTAATTCTGTTGTAGGGCGGTCGGTAGAAGACTATCGTCGTAGCTTTGGCGTGGGAGACGAGGCTGGGTCGGTGGTACGCGTATCATAGTGACATGTTGATCATATCGTTAGAGTCAAGAGTGTACGTCGACGTGTAATTCACGGTGTTTGAGTCGACTGGACTCCAAAGAAGCAAATGGCTGATGCAGATTTCGTAGAGTTGATGAGACGTGCCGGCAAGAGAGCGGTCGGATGACAGTCAGCCGCATCGCTGACGTAATCAGCGTATTGTACGCGTCATTTCCAGCTCGCATCGCGCATGCTTGCACCTCGGTTCTCAACACTACGGGCAGACCTCGCAAAAACTCATTCGAACACTGTACGGTTGCGACGTTCAGCCAATGGTACAACACCTGTTGTAACACTCCTCAACCGTGGATGAGATTCCCATGATTTCGGGCGCTGATTAATGCGCGCCTGGAATGGGCGCGTTGAGCTTCCCGAGGTCACGCGTCACCGACGCGGCGCATTTCTTTACAGATCACGTACGACCAATAGTCATGACCTGAGTCCTTGGTCAGATATCCTCGACTTTACAGGTCTCCTTCTTCCAGAGAAACGAGATGTGAGCCACCTTGCAAACATACATCGCGCACTCACTACTGTTACCATGGTTATGCATCGATGCGTTCCAAGGTTACCACCTCAAACGCCTCCGGCAGATTAGCGTTGCAATGTACCCAACGATTTTAAGGTAGAGATCAGAGTCATTGCAATTTGATTAATGCGATGTGCGCGGATACATCAAGCTCATATGAGTCATCTCAAACAATGTAAGGCGTCCACTCAGTATACCTAGGTGCGTTGCTCAAAGGCTTCACTATGCATCGACGGCATACCCAACACCATGACGAGCGACGCATCTTCCACAGCGGAGAGTAGTTTCCATACCAAGGAAATGGCGACTGCGCTCGGAGAGATCAACCCCGACCCGCCTCGAAAGCCCCAGACTTCATCATCTCCTACCAAATCGAAGGCGACATCAGCACTTCGAGCGAAGCAAGAGACGCGCAAGTTCCGCGGGACTTCCACCCCCGATCCGGCGCTTGACATCGACATGGACGAGTTCACAACCTTCACACAGTACCTGCGATCATCGAAACGCGTTCTAGCCCTCGTGGGTGCTGGTTTGTCGGTTGCTTCGGGGCTTTCGACATTTCGCGGCGATGATAGAAGATGGAGAGGTATAGAACCTCAGGAGCTTTCGAATGTCGAGGCTCTGGTGCAAGACCCGGTGAAGGTATGGTGGTTCTTCAGCGATCGGATGAAGCGTGCACAAGAGGCAAACCCGAACCGGGGCCATATCGCGCTTGCGAGGCTCGCAAAGGAGAAGAGTGGGTTCTTCGCAATCAATCAAAACATTGATGGTAAGCAGACCTTTCAAGGCTACGGCCTGGAAGAATGTCGACTAACACAACCTAGGCCTGTGTCAACGAGCCGGCATACCCAACGAGCAGATTGCGCAAGTACACGGCACCCTGTTCGAGATGAAATGCAGCAAATACGCTTCAGACTCTATCGACCATTGCGACTACAATACGCCCGTCTCCTACCCTGCCACCGAGGCGCTCACGATCACATCTGACATCAGCGACGCGTCCGTCCCTCTGCCTTCTCTCGATCATACCCAGCTCCCTCATTGCCCACGGTGCGACAGCCTCATGCGACCGAGCGTCGTGCTCTTCGGTGAAAGCCTATCGAGCAACCTCACCGAGACTATACACACCTTCATCACCTCTGCGCCTTTCGACCTGTTGCTGGTAATCGGTACGAGTGGCGTCGTCCTTCCGGCGGCGATGTATATACCCAAGGCTCGGAATGCTGGTGCGAGGGTCGCATATTTCAATATGGAAGAGTATCATGACGAGCCTGGATGCGTTTGGGCGGGCGACTGGATGTTCAAAGGTGATGCCGCGGTCATGGTCCCTGAGCTCCTTAAAGGGATCGTGGGAAATGTCGGAAGTGTGTGATAGGAGTAAGTTGCCAATGCAGTTCTAGGTGAGACAGGTTCAACTCATATGAGGTCTCACTTGGAGAGGCTCGGTTGCTGAACAACGAATTGAACGTGGCAACTCATACATGGAAAAAGATTGGACAGGCCCGGAGCCTACATCAACGTTAGGTCTCCTACTTTGCATCAGCCTGCAGATCTGCTCAGTATTTTCCCCAGGTTGGCATGACACCGTAGCTGTTAATCTCACTTGGGGGTGGATATTGTGTTTGTTTGCTACTGGCGCACGTGCCATGTGCGACTGCCTACTTGGGCCACGCAGCTCTCCTGCTCTTACTCCGCGACGACGTCACTCGGGTACCTACTTGATGCAATTTTGCACTCACTCCCGTCTTCCTCTTTCGCGGCCCTGCAATGCGGAAGTAACCCCAAACGCCAATCGAACAGACGTACCTGAACGATCCTTTCGACGAGGCACAGAGTGCAGGCGTGCTCTACTGCGATTGCGACTGCTTCAACACTCTCCGCAGTCCTGAAAGCATTCAAGAAGGCTTTGTGCGATGTCGTCAGTGCAGCAGACAGCGCAGCGCGCCTGGACGCTACCGCCGGCGGTGTCAAATATCACCAATCCTCTCGCGGTCGCTCTGGCATTGTACCCAATACAAGAGGTAAGGCATACGTCTGTGAGCCTCTTGCTCTATGCGCCTTACTAATTCCGATCTGCAGGCCCTAGTCTCGCTCCTGGTACCGGAAAGGCTCGTCACTCTTACTCAGCTCTGCCAAACTGTTCATGGCCACATTCGCATGGACGATGCGAGCGCAAAAGCCAATCTTCTTTCCAAGACGCTGTGCTCCGGATTCGGTTCGTTCGTCAGAATGTCTACTCATTGCCCCTGTCCAGCGAAGACATTCCATCCTGTGATGGTTTGCTCGAAAGGTGGATTTGGAACAGAGTCACACCCGTGTGTGGGATGTGGTGTCAACACTTGCGACGAGTGCCGCATCCATGTTTTCTACAACTTCATGACAGACGATTCTGGGCTCGATCAGCGTCGATGGTGGGCAGGCTACTACTTCCTCAACCCCATGGCTGTTGCAGTATGTCCACCTAAGAACTCCGATGGCAGCGCCTGGCATCTACCTGTCAAGGAGATGCTACCTCGCCATGACCAGGGCCGCGTGCACATTCCCCTAGCGATCGGTGCTCTAGGCGATCCCGAGCCGATTGAGCCGATTCTCGATCTGAATTTGGGTACCCACCAGTTCATCAGTCCCCGTGGGCGTACACAATTCCCCTACTCTGGCAATAACATCGTTTCGTTCCTCAGCCTGACTGTCAACAAGCGCAAAGACCTCGCATGTCCTTCCTGTTACCTGGAACGCCAGAATCAAGGTGTGGCGCCTTGTTCCTGCACCCTACGGAAGCGCTTCCTAGACCGATGGTTGTGTATGCACTGCTATATCGAGGAAGTAAATGTTGATGAACAGCTCCGCCGTCATGTCGTGAAGGCAAACGAGGTCGGACAAGGCCACATACATGTGTGTGGCTGCGGAACGGAGTTCACACCAGATATCATGCCAAAAGTCATGTGCAACTGGTGCAAAGGCGAGATCGCAGAGCTCGAGCAGGGCACTGAGGATGACGTCACCAGTGAGAATGCCGAAGACAACAGCGAAGAAGAAGAGGAACTCGAGAACGGAGATGACGAGGAGGACCATTCGGCGGCTGACTTTGCGGGTCTGCCTCTGGACGAGTTTGGCTACACTGAGAACCGCGACGGGTCTCTTTCGGTGTACGTGAACGGCGAGTGCATCCGCGGAGAACGTTTGGGACGAGCTATGATCCGCCAGTGGAAGAGAATCCAGGGTGAGCACGTTGAATGTACTTGCTGTATCTGCGACGAGAAGGACTCCATGCATGCTCACGCCGGGGACGAATCAGGAGACGAGTACGAGGACGAGGACGAAGATGGTCACGATGACATTGACGATGATCTACCAGATCTGGAAGACGTCGAGTCAGCTGCTGGCTTCGAAGATCCATGGGGATTGGACTAAGAGTCCTGAGTCTACTGCACGCTTGTCCTGGTAGAATCACGCAGGGCACCACCGGTGAATGCGTGAACTTAGTCCCGTTCGGCAAGATACATACCAAGATGATCGCCGTATGCGATGTACATTTGCTTGTTGCGTCAAATTGTATGAATTCCCCGTGACCGCTCTTCCTCCGGAGAAGTCTCTAGCCTATCTACACACATAGCACCAAATCAAAGAAAGTATTCCAGTCGATACACCAAGAGTTGAGCCAGCGATAGCTTCATGTAGTCTGTCAGTCGAACACCCAGATGACCAGGTGACGAAACTGTTGGTTCCTCCCCGCAGCGCGCACGACCACTTGCTCGAAGTGGACCCCTGAAGCTTGCCGTAGTGTCGTGGCGTGAAGCTTGGCACTGACACATGGACCAGAACACTGTTCCTGATCGCTTCGTCGCCGCATCCCCATCATCACCTGCACCTCCTCACGTCCCAACATCGTCCAATTGCGGCTTTGCCACACCGACTTCCGTTCTGCCAAGATGTGTTCGTGAATCCGCGGATCTCGCCAGACCTGCCGGCGAGGTACCGATTTGCACGCGTCGCGACTGGATATATTCACCACGCGTAATGAACGTATAAAGACGTCAAGACACTTCGAGAGGGACCCAATACTTTCGAAATGACCGAATCATGGCGTTTCAGACGCGTATCGCGTTTCGAGATGGCAGTGACAGCGGTGAGTTGCAGTATCTTATCGGCGCGACTTCTGCCAAGACCTCTCGCCCGAAGAGAACTTTCGGACCATCGGTGAAATGCTCCAAGCACAGCGCATGACTGTGCGTCAATTCAATGGATAACACGTCCCGATTCCTACAGAGGCGCTCGGTCCGTCTACTCATAACCTGGTGATTTCCTCTTTTCTCTTTGCAAACAACTTTGTCATTGTATTATATCCACGACCTCCCAGATTGGCGTACCAAGTTTGACCGGACGCAACTGCCACAACCCTTATTCTTGTTACATCACTTTGACTCGGCGTACATGCGCCTACCAATTTAAGGTCGCAGTTCTTCTCCGGTAGCCTGGTTGCATCCGCACACATAATTACGGACGTCAACAGCAGAATAATGAAATATCTACCCACCTTTTCAGAAGACCGCAGCGCGCAGAGGACTTCCCTTAAAGACATAGCGCACGAAACAGTTGGCGAGACGTACATCGAAGAGGATCCATCGGTAGCAGAATGGTTCCGCGAATTCGTTCCCACCTCACATGGCGCCGCAGAGTATGTACGCGAACTGTTTCCGAGCGCACGGTGGCTAAGGCGGTATAACTTACATTGGCTGGCTGGAGATGCTATCGCTGGTATTTACAAAACACCTGGACCCCTTGCTGGCTATTGCTAAAGAAAATGAAGGTATCACGGTCGGTCTCGTCGTCGTTCCACAAGCCATGGCATATGCTTCGCTTGCGCGGCTGTCACCCGCCTTTGGTCTTTACACTACGTTTACAGGCGCGTGTTTATATTGGATCTTTGGTACATCTAGAGATATCGTCATCGGTGTAAGCTATTCATTTCACTATACCGTAATCAGCTAATCCAAGAATAGACGACAGCAGTTGGGTCATTACTGATTGGAAGCGCCGTCAGCAAAGTTGAAGCGGAACACCCAGGGGTGTATCAACCTCAGGAGATTGCACATGCGCTAAGCTTCCTTGCTGGCGCCATTATTCTCGTCTTCGGTATCCTTCGTCTCGGCTTCATCATCGAGTTCATCCCGTACATTCCCATCTCAGCATTCGTCACCTCGGCCAGTATTACTATCATCTCGACACAGCTGCCGACTTTGATGGGCATTACAGGGATCAACACACGTGAGTCTCCGTACAAGGTGTACGTCAACTTCTTGAAGGGCTTACCCACGGCAAGACTGGATGCGGCGATTGGTATCACATCCATCGTCCTCCTATACTTGATCAAGAACCTATGCGCTAAGATGGAGGTGCGACAACCTCGGAAGAAGAAGATGTGGTCTATGATCTCCTCGCTGCGTCTTACATTCACTATCTTGTTGTACACCCTTATCAGCTGGCTGGTACATAGGACGACACCTGCAGGCGAAGAGAAGTTCCGGATCGTAGGTCATATTGAGAAGGGTTTCAGCCATGCAGGTGTACCAAAGATGGACGGAAAGCTCTTCGGCTTGGTGGCTACGGAACTCCCGGCGATCATCATCATCCTCATCGTCGAACACATCGCCATCGCCAAGAACTTCGGACGCAAACACAACTATACCGTCATCCCTTCACAGGAGATGATCGCACAAGGCGCTGCCAACATACTGAGTCCTTTTGTGGGTGGTTATGTGTGTACAGGCTCTTTCGGCGCTTCTGCTGTTCTCTCCAAAGCTGCAGTGCGCACTCCGTTATCCGGCGTCTTCAGCGCAGTGGTCCTAGTGTTGGCATTGTATGCGCTCACAGCTGTCTTTTACTACATCCCGAACGCAGCGCTTGCTGGTCTGATCATACACTCCACCGTCGATTTGATCAAAGGACCAAAGGACTTGCACAAGTACTACCAGCTGTCGCCGTTCGAGCTATTTATCTGGGTTTGTGGTGTTGTCATCGCATTCTTCACCGACCTCGAGACGGCGATCTACATTACTGTTGGCCTCTCCTTTGCAATGCTGCTCGTCCGCATGGCAAAAAGCCCAGGCAAGTTCCGAGGTGCTGTTGAGGTGACGCGCATCGTGCGCGACGACCGCCCCTGCGATCAGTCCGTGTCGACATCAAGTGCGTCGCTGTCTTCACAACCAAACGGAGAACAGACGCATCGTGCTGTAGCTATGCAGGAAGCTCGGCAAGTGTATATGCCCTACGACGTCACAGACAACCACAACCCGAACATCACCGTAGAGCCAGCATACCCCGGCGTCTTCATCTATCGCTTCAGCGAGAACTTCAACTACATCAACCAAGCTTATCATGTTGACTACCTTAACTCTTACATTACCTCAAACACCCGCCGGACTCAAGCGGATGACGGTATCCGCGCATGCGATCGTTTATGGTGCGACGCGCCACCCACGGAGAAGCTCATCGAAGAGTCGTCATGTCTGCCCGTCTTGCGAGCCGTTGTTCTTGACTTCTCCACCGTCAATATTCTCGACATTACCAGCATCGACGGATTGAAGAGCTTACGCGAGACGCTTGATCGCCATGCAGCGCCCGGTTTGGTCGAATGGCACTTTGCTGGTGTTCACAACCGGTGGACACGCAAAGCGCTAGCCTTTGCAGGTTTCGGATTTCCTGCTGTCGTAACTGCAGAATACACAGGAACCTGGTGTCCAGCCTACACCGTGTCGGCAAGTCTCGCGGGCGCGACATGCGAAGAGGAAAAAGAAGTAGAAGCTGCACGAAGGAATATGGGAACCAGGGACGAAGAGCAGGGCAAGGACTCCACAGAAACAAATGCACTTGAGGTGCAGTTGTCTTCCACGAGTGAGAAGCAGAAGTTTTACCCGATTTACGGGGTTGATAGGCCGTTCTTCCATCTTGATCTTCACGACGCTGTTGACGCTGCGGTTCGCGATGCGAGGAAGGCTGATGAACACGAGGCGCGCACGAGTTGTACATCGACTGCATGGTCAGAGATGCCAGCGGCCCAAGAAGAAGCATAGATGTCTGCGTCGTCGTTTTTTCTTTTGACCCATCTCGGGTAATGGCATTTTGCATGTCGGGCGTATTAGCGTAATTGGTGTCTCGGTCTGGCGTAGCATCAGCATTTGCATCATCGGCGCTCAAGAATGGCTAGTATTTAGAAGCACAGAGTGTTCGTATCAATAATACATCTCCTCACTACCACAGCTTTCACAGACGACTGCACCTCCACTACCCGCATCATGAGCTATATCGCACCTGTCGGATACCTACTCTCGCTACCATAAGCTTCACTTCTCAAGACCCAAGTCATGATCTCATCCCGCGTCATGTTCCCCAAAGCATTTTTCATCACGTCCTTCTCAATGTTGTCCTGTACTTTTACAATGGCCAATTTCATCTGTAGATCGGTATACTTGACGCTGTATTCCGCTTCCAGGTCCGGCGTTGGAAAGGGTGCCATTGCTTCAATCTTGTCCATCTGCCTTTTGTAGGCAAGCATGAGTTCCGCGTAGCGGCGACGGGTGTGGGCGGCATTGTCTAGCAAAGGGAAGAATGTGTTTTGAGACATTAGATGGAATCGTATGTGTATGTGTGTGGATCTGTATGTCTAGCACAAGTTCGCCTCCTAGTTAAGAAGCTTATGTTCAGTGCACAACATAGGTGATACACTTTGATGACGTATATGAATATCTAGATCAGCCCATGGACGCTTGCTATGGTAGAAATAGTTTGACTACAAAGAAGGGTATGTGACAAACAGGGTTTCCTTTGCTCGTATGGCCTCGCTCATTGTTGTTCGACTACTTTCATTGAACTATGAGTGGATGCTAGTGTATAGTATGATATTAGAGCAGCTCCGATATACATCGTAAGCTGAACCCCTAACTTCCCCGTTACTGCTTCTCTACCTCCAATGGCGGGACCAATAGAAACTGAATTCCACCTCCTTGCCCTCTTCCATTTTCGTTTTGTATGCTTCCATCTGCAGATGTTGCTTCCGGGTAAGCCACTCATGACAGACGAAGTGTCGATGCAGACCACGAGGCGCGACAGAGCCAGCAGCCACGATGGCTTGGTCAATCAGATTGCCATCCAGATTGGGACGGTCCCCATCTGAAAGCTGTTCCGGCCAGGCACCCTCCTTGTCTTCGTCCTCCTCATTCGGTACGAAATCCTTCGCCCTTTCCTCTTCTTCAGTGGCCTTCTTAGACCCGGTCACCCGACCATCGCACCACTCGCATACAAGCCACGAATGTTGGTCCTGTGCATCGAATGAGCTCCCACATGGACATTCTCCTGGTTCATCTCCCGCCAGCATCTCCAACATTGCCGCACCACCAGGGTTAGCTTCGTTCTCC